CCTACCGCCCCATAACGTGCCCTAGCCCGAAGCGCCCTAGCCCGAAGCGCCCTAGCCCGAAGCACCTTAGCCCGTAGCGCCCCGTCAATCCGTTTCTCGTAGTGCCCCGTACCCCGCGCACCACCCGTTTTCCCGTCGCCTCACCCGTCAGATCCGTCGCGTCGTTACTCTCCCCCCCCTCGTCGCAACCTGCCCGTTTTCCCCCGTCGCGCCCTACCTTTTTCCCCCGTCGCGCTGCCCGTACATCCGCTCGCGTAGTCGCACGCACCCGTAAGAACGGTCGCGCGTGCAGCCGCGTGCGACGGCACACACAGCAGCACGCGCAACTGCTCGCCCGTCCGCTCGCACAGCAGCCCCTGCGGCCTGCGCGCCGCGCCACCTGCAACCCGTCCCACAGCATTCCCTGTAGCTCTACGCCCCACCCGTCCCCACTGCCTTAGCAAGCCGCCACAGCCAGAATAGCCACCCCTTCCCAGTTCTGCCACTACCGACCGACGCGCGCTGGCCTCCGTGAAGGAGGAACTGCAGAGGAGACACACTTGCACTGACCTTGGTGAGCTGCAGCACTACCTTGGCCTGCAGATCACCAAGGACAGAGCAGCTCGCACCATTACGCTGACTCAGTCGCATATGGTCGAGCAGATCCTCACACGGTTTCGCTTCCTGTTCTCCAAGCTAGAGCTCACCCCTCTTGGTGTGGACCATGGGCTCACGGCTCCACCTTCGGACGAGCCATTTGAGTCCAGCGGTCCATACCCTGAGCTGGTGGGTTGTCTCATGTACCTGATGACCTGCACTCGCCCAGACCTAGCTTACCCTCTTAGCGTCCTTGCGCGTTTTGTTGCGCCTGGGAGACACCGACATTCCCACTAGTACGAGGCTAAGAGGGTGGCGAAGTATGTGGCGAGTACATCAGGCATGGGACTTGCCCTTGGAGGGAAGCAGCCAGTTACACTCACAGGTTACTCAGACTCGTCATGGGCCGACGATGCGGAGACGCGCCGGTCTACACAGGGGTACTCCTTTAGCCTCGGAGCAGGTGCTGTTTCGTGGCGGTCGACTCGGGCGTCGTCTGTCCCCGGTTCCAGCTGTGAGGCAGGGGTGTACGCTGCGGCCATGGCCGCTCAGGAGCTTCGCTGGCTGTCTTTCCTTCTCACCGACCTTGGTGAGCGGCCTCGCTCTCCCCCAGTCTTGTTTGCCAACAACAGGGTAGCTGTCCTGTTGTGTGAGGAGCCTCGACTGGTTGGGAAGGCGAAGCACATCCAGCTTCGTTACTTCCTTCTGCGTGAGTTGCAACAGCGTGGCCAGGCACGCGTGGTACGTGTGGTCTCTGAGGCCAACACTGCAGATATCTTCACCAAGGCATTGCCGCCTTGTCACCACCAGCGTTTCTGCATCCAGCTTGGCCTTGTGTCTACATGCCCTCACTTGTTTTTCCTTAGTCAGAGGTCCACTGGTGATCCCCGATTGATCCTAGGGAAAGGTTACAGGCTCGTTGTCCTGGGGGGTTATGGGCGCACTGACCCGCTACTTAACAAGCCCTTTTATCCCAATGGTCTAGTGGTTGGGATTCTGACATGGTATCAGAGCGAAGGTCTCGAAATGCCCGAAATGCCCGGCAAACTGAAATGCACTCGAAATGCACTCGAAAGGTCTCGAAATGCCCGAAATGCACTCTGACAGTGTGTGCATTTCGGGCATCCCAGTGCGGGGGGGTGTCAGAGGTTCACAGGTGATCCTCGATTGATCATAGGGAAGGGTTACAGGCTCGTTGTCCTGGGGGGGTTATCGGCGCACTGACTCGCTACTTAACAAGCCCTTTTATCCCAATGGTCTAGTGGTTGGGATTCTGACAGGTGCTAGTGCGTCTACTGCCCCAGGTGCTGGTGAGTCTGCTCTCTCAGGTACCACGTCGGCTCAGGCCTTACACACCTTCACCCTTGAGTCGGGTGGTTCCCGCTCCTTCTTTCGAGACCGCACCACACTCACGCCGCTAAGTCGGCCAATTGCGGTCTCCCTAGGAGACCCCTCTGGGGGTCCTGTCCTTGCCCACTTCTCCACTGTCTTTTCCGTGTCCGGCGGCCCCTTCTGGCACCCTGTCAGGTCTTTACCTCCCCTCGCTCTCTACGAACTTGGTGAGTGGTGCTGATCTACAGGATGGGGGGGTTGACAAGTTCACTCCTGCGAGTCAGCGGGTGACCCACTGTACGTGTGCTCGGACGGGCCGACACTTGGCCACGTTTACCCATCAGCTGGGGTCGAGCCTGTACACACTGACTACTGAGTCTCCTCCGGTTGCTGGGTCTGGTCAGGTAGCTGCGTCAGGTCAGGTGTTTGCTGCAGCGTCCAGGTCTGGTCCTTAGTCTGCCCCCTGCTCGTGTCGTCTCCTGACCCACCGGACCCTCCTACCGCACTGCGCCCCTCCCCCCGGCGCCGCTCTTCCTCGCGCCAGGTCCCCCCCAGGTAGACCCCCTTCCCCCTTAGGGTCCTGCCCCCTCAGGTGTGTCCCAGGTAGACGCAGTCGAGCCTATCGAGGTAGCTGTCAACTCTGGTGCTACTAGGGGTACTGAGCTTGCGGGTGTAGGGTCTCAGGGTGCTGAGCCTGGGGGTGTTGAGTCTGGGGGTGGTGAGCCTGGGGGTGCTGATCCTGGGGGTGCTAAGTCTGGGGGTGCGGAGCCTGAGGGTGCTGGGCCAGCTCGTGTGGAGTCTGGCGGTACTGGGTCTGGAGGTCCTTCGGATGCTTCGTCCCGACGGGAGCTACCCTCTCCACAGGAGCTACGCGAGTGGTTTTCTCGGCGCTGGAGCCGTACTGCCGGAGCTAGAGGTGCTGTTGGAGGTGGAGGTTCTACTGCTACTGAGGGTGCTGGTGCCAAGGGTCCCGGAGGTGCTCTACTGGAGGTACTGGAGCTGCTGGGCCGGGGGGTGCTCCTTGTGCTAGAGCTGCTGGTGGTGCTGGAGCAGGTGGTGCTTCTGGAGCCGGTGCTACTAGAGGTGCTGGAGCTTGGGCGGTTGAGTCTTCCGGTGGTCCGGCTGGAGCTGGAGCTGCTGGGGGTGTTGGCGCTGGAGGTGCTGCTGGCGCTGGTGCTTCTGAGGGTGCTAGAGTTGGCGCTGCTGCAGCTGGGGGTGCTACTGGTGATGGTGCTGCCGCTGGGGGTGCTGGTGCTGTCCCTGCTGGCTCTGGAGGCGATGCGCGGCCTCGGCCATACTTTGTTCCGCTCCTTGAGCAGGTTCGTCATCTCCCGCATTCTGCTGGTCGTGCTCCTTCCTTAGAGCGTCCGCCGCCTGTCCAGTCTGAGTCGCAGTTCCAGCCCGCATCCCCATTGCCTGCTCCTTCTCCCTACACTGGTCCTACTGGAGGTCTTGCTGAGCGTCGTGAGCCTACGTCTCATCCTGCGTCGCCTGTTCGTGCTGCTCGCAATAATCGTCGTATTTCACGTCCGCGTCCTCCAGCGGTCCCAGGCACACACGAGATGGCACTGCGTCCTTCCACTGCGTGTCGCTTTGCCGTCTCCTCCGGAGTCCTCTCTTCCTGCTCTTGCTGACCCGGAGTCTGACTCCCTTCGTGCTGCCAGTCCTACTGTCATGCGTCTCCTGGGTATTGTTGTCACTGACCCTTCCTTTGTGTCCACTGCTGCGTCTGCCTTAGTTGCTGAGCTTGTCGACTTTGCTGCTCACTGTCGTCTAGACTACGCTGCTAGTCTTGTTGCTGAGTCTGAGTCTGTCTGTCCTCCGTCCGTCGGGGGTGAGTGTGCTCTTAGCACGGACGTCCTTGAGGACAGGCAGGAGGAGTTCTTGTGTCTTGCTGCTACTTTACCTCATATCGTGTCCATGCTGATTGCCCCTGAGGGAGACCCGGATGCACCAGACATCCCCATTCCGCGCTTTTACGCAGAGGCGATACAGGGTCCGTACTCCTCACAGTGGCAGTCAGCCATGGACGCAGAGATGCAGCTCACGAGCAAGGAAGTAGCGAAGAGACTGTAGCCGTAAATAGTGATACCGGTATGGTCATGTTTCGCGGAGCCGCACAGTGTTCTGCACCGGGCAGAAGCTTAATCGGCCTTCAATCGTTGCAAACATATTGCAACCATGTGCTTGCAATGATGTGATGTGATTGTTTGAATTGAGAAAGCTGCTTTCTTATTTTTATCCATTGGCATCGTTCTCATTACAACTGACTTATTACAACATTTTCATTGAGATTAAACACAAGCTAGTGCATGCTAATATCACTAGCAAAGATGTACCCTATCCAAGTGGCATTAGCAAGGCGTTCTACGCTGGGGTGGGTGGTGGGAATGTTGTGTGAGCCGTTTGAAATAGAGAAACGTGGGTGGAGGGAAATGAGCTCCAACCCACGGTTTTTGTAGTTGGAGAAGGGCGTTTAGCGCGCTTCGACGATGCCAATTGCGCAGTACAAGCAGCTTCGCTTTCGCAATACACAATTTAAAAAAGCACAATGTGTGTTTAAAAATTATAATATCAATCAATAACAACCAAACATTCGTATATTCTTGAAGTTGTTTATTTCTCTTCAGGGCCCCCCCAGCGGCCCAGCCTCCATCCTTGACAGGCGAGTTACGAGTACAGCCAGCCAATGGTTGGCCAGCCCTGTTCCCTTGATTATTCTAGAGCCAGCGTTTAGACTTCAGGCAGACCGAATCAGATCTTCCAGTGCCGTTGCGGACCCCAGCCCCCATCCTTGTGGGTGGCCAGCCCTGTGGCAGGCAGCATGAGGAGACAGGGATACATCATACCTATGCTGGTACGGTATGTGGCTGACTGCTGACCCCAATCACCTCTCCCAGAACCCTTTGGGGGGGCGGAAACTCTAATACTGGCCTCGCGGCCCCCAGACCCCCTCCTGGGCACTCGAGCAGAGCCAGTGGTATGCATTGCCAGACCCGTGGCAGTGTGAGGAGACGAAGACGAGAAAAAAAAGGCTGGTAATATGCTAGCCCTAATCTGCTCTAATCAGCTGCACTAGTGCTCCAGATTCATTACTGCCCTCGCGGACCCCAGCCTCCGTCCTTGGCAGGCGAATAGAGCCAGTGGTTTGCCAGCCCCGTGGCAGCACAGCGCTCACACCGCTCATGTCCCCGGCCCTCACACGCACAGCACGCCTGCAGTGGCTCCTGTGTCATCACCCCGCCTGTGGGTGGGAAGAGAGGGGCGAGGGAGAGGAGTGTGGAAGGAGAAGTGGGCCGGAAGGGTGGGTTGATTTTTGCATGACTATGGGATGTTTTGTGGATAAGTGTGGGGGTATCCATGCATAAACCTGGAGTAATTCATGGGTAAATGTAAGGCGAACAGATTGAATACAAGAAAGGGAATAGGAAGGCTGAGGGTCAGGAAAATGAGTGGGAGTGGGAGAGGAGGAGCGGGAGCAGGAGAGCGAAGAAGGGTTGGGACAGAGAAGGTACAACAGTGCGAGGAGAAGTGCGGTAATAGAGAGGGGAGGAAGGGAAGGAAAGGGGGGGGAGGAAGTGTGGTAGTGCGGAAGCAGTTACCCTGCTTTCATCTGCAATAAGATAGATTTAAAGAAGTCTCAAAAGTGCTAGGAGAAGCGTGGTAAGAGAGGGGGGAGTGTGGCAGGAGAGGGGTGAGTGTGGTAGGAGAGGGGTGAGTGTGGTAGGAGAGGGGTGAGTGTGGTAGGAGAGTGGTGAGTGTGGCAGGAGAGGGATGAGTGTGGTTGTGCACAGTCAGTTACCTTGCTTTCCCCGGCCGTGACACTTGCAACAGAGCTGCATTGGTGAAGTGGGAAGTGGGGAGGGTTGGAAGAGAGACGGTTGGATGGTGAACGAGCAAGGTAAACACACGTGAGCGAGCGTGAATGCGGGAGAGGTGCATTTTGAGGCGCCTCAAAATGCACCTCACTACACGCCGATTGTATGGTGAATGAGCAAGGTAAACACACGTGAGTGAGCGTGAACGCGGGAGAGTTTTGAGAAATCTCAAAAGTCATACCAATATAGCTGGCTGGCGGCCGTGAGCGTGAACACACGTGAGTCATACAAATCCCTTAGGTAAACACACGTGAGCGTGAACGCGGGAGAGAAAGGCTGTGGGTGTGGATGTGGGTGGGCAGTGGGCACACACATGCACACATGTGATGAGTATATTTTTGAGTCAACTCAATTCTTTAGTCGACTCAAAAGTCATCTCGTTACAATGGCACAGCACGAACGCGGGAGAGAAAGGCTGTGTAGGTGTGGGTGGGCACACACGCACACTCACATGCGCATGCGCACACTCACATGCGCATGCGCACACTCACATGCGCATGCACACACTCACATGCGCATGCACACACTCACATGCGCATGCACACACTCACATGCGCATGCACACACTCACATGCGCATGCACACACTCACATGCGCATGCGCACTCACATGCGCATGCACACACTCACATGCGCATGCACACACTCACATGCGCATGCACACACTCACATGCGCATGCACACACTCACATGCGCATGCGCACACTCACATGCGCATGCACACACTCACATGCGCATGCACACACTCACATGCGCATGCACACACTCACATGCGCATGCGCACACTCACATGCGCATGCACACACTCACATGCGCATGCACACACTCACATGCGCATGCACACACTCACATGCGCATGCACACACTCACATGCGCATGCGCACTCACATGCGCATGCACACACTCACATGCGCATGCACACACTCACATGCGCATGCACACACTCACATGCGCATGCACACACTCACATGCGCATGCACACACTCACATGCGCATGCACACACTCACATGCGCATGCGCACTCACATGCGCATGCACACACTCACATGCGCATGCACACACTCACATGCGCATGCACACACTCACATGCGCATGCACACACTCACATGCGCATGCACACACTCACATGCGCATGCACACACTCACATGCGCATGCACACACTCACATGCGCATGCACACACTCACATGCGCATGCACACACTCACATGCGCATGCACACACTCACATGCGCATGCACACACTCACATGCGCATGCACACACTCACATGCGCATGCACACACTCACATGCGCATGCACACACTCACATGCGCATGCACACACTCACATGCGCATGCACACACTCACATGCGCATGCGCACACTCACATGCGCATGCACACACTCACATGCGCATGCACACACTCACATGCGCATGCACACACTCACATGCGCATGCACACACTCACATGCGCATGCACACACTCACATGCGCATGCACACACTCACATGCGCATGCACACACTCACATGCGCATGCACACACTCACATGCGCATGCAGCACACTCACATGCGCATGCACACACTCACATGCGCATGCGCACACTCACATGCGCATGCACACACTCACATGCGCATGCGCACACTCACATGCGCATGCACACACTCACATGCGCATGCACACACTCACATGCGCATGCACACACTCACATGCGCATGCACACACTCACATGCGCAT